GCAATTTTTAAAAATTGATGAATCTGGATAAACGATTTGTAGTTCTCCACAATATTTTTGCAAATTTTCTGTAAATCTGAAATTGTTTCAAAATGCAAATTGAAAAAACACCCTCTCCTAGATTATAGCTAGTAAATTTATGTCTAAGTGACTTACTAGTTGAAATAAACCTATTAACAGTGAAAACAAAATCAAAAACAAAAAAACCCTATTAATAGTAAATTTTGTCCAACAATTTTACTACTGTGGACATAGACCTCAATAATGGACAGACATGCACAATTAATAATATCCAGGACAATATTGTTTAATGATCCAAAACTAGAAACAACCCACATATTAAGTGGAATACTATATAGTAGTAAACAAAATTAATGAACTGAAGTGCACATAAAATGAGGATGAATCTCACAAAGTAATGTGCAATGAAAGAAACCAGAGTAAAAGAATGTATCCTGTATCATTCCATTTAGATAGAGTTCAAAACCAGGCAAATATCAACAAGGGTATGAGTGGTCAGGAGGAAAGGAAGTGACTGGGTGGGAAGAGAAGAACTGTAAGAGTACTGATAGGATTCCATTCATCGAGAGGTGGGTGACATGGGAGTGTTCGCTCTGCTACAATCCACTGATCTGCATGCTCATGGCTAGTGTAGTTTCTTTTTTTATTTTTTTAAACTTTATTTATTTTGAGAGAGAGAGAGCGAGCACACACGAGTGGGGGAGGGGCAGAGAGAATGCCAAGCAGATTCTGAGCTGACACAGAACAAAGCCTGACTCGGGCTCAAACTCATTAATTGTGAGATCGTGACCTGAGCTGAAATCAGTAGTCAGATGGTTAACTGAGTGGGCCACCCAGGCAGCCCTGATTGTTGTACTTTTCTATGAAAATAAAAATTGTATGTCTCTTTTTGGCCTACTGATTCTATGCTTGTCAAATTACCAAAAAAAAAAAAAAATACAGAAAGTATAGAAAACTGCACAAAAAAGTGCTCTGATTTTTTTCTGATTTTTTGATAATCTCATAGCCAAGAAAATATTACAAAGTACAGAAAACAGGATTATTTTTAATGATCCTACAAATTTAAAAGTTCTCCATATGTTTAAATATGCCACTTCAAGTAAGATAGCTACAAAAAGTAAAACTTTTCAGTACAAAACTAAACACACTTGCCCTCTGACTTTTAATATCCTTCTTTAGAATGAGGTACAGAAGACTAGGAAGCTTTGAACAAAAACAATGCACACACTTAAGCAAAACTACTGAAGACAGATATGTAACACCCTACACTAAATAATCTAAAAAAAAAAAGTCACTGTTTTGGTACTCTGCATTCTGTTTACAGCTAACCTTTCACCTTCTCAATGGCTTTTCCTAGTTGTCACTTGCAGGCATGGTTCTGTTTCCAGAAGAAAACAAGGATTGTCCAGATGCTCACTTTAACTATCATAACAATAAGAAACTGCCATTGTGTTTCACTGAAAGTGTTGTACTCTTATTTATAGGTAGTACTATAGAAATAAGGCAAACTGATACTTTTATATGTGTACATTCTTGGTTCTCTCAATTCATGGCATATTCCATATATTTTATACAGTTTTTGTAGCCAATTTCATTTAAATCTTCTCCCATAAGGTTGTACCTGAAAAATAGCTGATTTATTTTTTTTATATTTATTTTTTTAAGTATTCTCTACCCCCAACGTGGGGCTCAAACTCACAACCTCAAGACTTAAGAGTTGTATGCTTTACTGAGTGAGTCAGCCAAATGTCCCCTTGAAAAGCCCTTTAAAATCAGTTCTTCATTCATTTTCTTCACTGGAAACTCAATGTATGAGCATGACTTTGTACGAATTCAGAGGAAGTTCAGATTCAAATTTTTAAAATCCAATACTAATTATCTTTCTTGGAGTAAAAACAATTGGCACACGTAGAAAAAAGGTACTCAGAGATCATTCAAATATTAGTCTAATTTAACCAGTTACTGAAGGTTACCTAGTCAAATGTTAACTTTTGTGATTTCCTAAGTCTAAAAGAAATGGGACCAAAAAGAAAATCTTAGTGGCACACAGGCTGGTTATAACAGGTATTCCTCTCCTTGACTGCAAGAATTGCCAAATATCAAATGACCAGGAAAAACCCATGTCTATCAGCAGGACAGTGGATAAATGTAGTGTACTAAATGGAATACCAGAGGTGCCTGGGTGGCTCAGTCGGTTAAGCATCAGACTTCAGCTCAGGTCATGATCTCACAGTTCGTGGGTTTGAGCCCCGCGTCAGGCTCTGTGCTGACAGCTAGCTCAGAGTCTGGAGCCTGTTCCAGATTCTGTATCTCCCTCTCTCTCTGACCCTCCCCTGCTCACGCTGTCTCTCTCTCTCTCTCTCTCTCTCTGTCTCTCTCTCTCTCAGAAATAAATAAAAACACTAAATGGAATACCATACAGCAAAAGAAAAAAAAAAAAAAAAGACTGAGTCAAGCAAGCTACACGTAAGACTGGAATGAATATCACCAACTTCTAAGCCAGCAACAATCCCTTTAGAATCCCCAACTTAACGCTTTCTAAAGGTGGTCGATATCCCACTAATAATCTGAATAATCAGTAAGATGTCTTAATTTTAAATTCTTTAAAAAGGGAATTCTCCAAAAATCACTACATCTAATTTCATGCAGTTAAAAGCTCAAAGATTTTAAAGCTACACATTTTCAATACAGAGAACAAACCACAATCAGATAACTAAAAGATTCAAGAAATCCTTCATGCTCTCTGAAAGAGTTGACATCAATATGATCCTGTATCCATTATGCATTTTACACTGAATTTTAGAGAAGTAAATCTACATCATAGAAAAATCAAACAAATGCCTAGGAAATATTCTATATACTTAAAAACTAAAGATATATTTATCTATCACATTAGTATAGTTGTTTAAATCAGTGGCTTATGGATTCCATATCATATATCCAAAGAGGCTAAGAATAAAAAGCAGGATCAGGGGAGATTTGCTTAGTATGCGCTAGCACCAGGTCTTGTTGGAAACAATACAGAGCTTAGACTCTGGAGCGTACGCCGAAGAAACACACAGTACAAAAAGATACAATTCAAAAACACAGATAATCATGTTATTAAAGGCTTTAAAATACTGGTTTTAAAAGTTTTCTTGATAAAACTCATGGAATTGAAACCAATATATTAGAAATGGATTAGAACAAGCACAACATATGGATGCATAAATGTCACTCCAAAAGTAATGAGCCACTTTTTAGTAACATATCAGCATATCACTGCAGAAAATTTTGCTTTGCAAACAGAGGACACTGATCTCACCTGATTTCATTTTCATACTGTGGGGACAGTCTACCTGAATTCTGGTAAAAGCTTTTCAGGAAAGAGGGGGCAGTGAAGGAAGGGGCAGAGAAGGAAGTGTGAAGACTTGGAAGACTGGAGGAAGAATTACTCTCCTTGGGCATGCGCCGAACTGATGGAAGAATGCTGAGTACAGAAAACACAGCAAATTTGTCTTAATTTATATTTCGGCAAAATCTTCATTCACTATGAAAAAGCATATAAACAGGTTCTTGCTATTAATTCAATCTTTCCTTTCAAAGCTCAGGGCTGGATCTTCTATGGAAAAAAAGGGAGCATGCAGTTGTCTGTTGAGCTGACCATGACCTTGCTTATTCCTCACAAACTGAATTCCTCACCTGTGCAGCATGTCTAACCATACGTGTTTGTCTCTAAAACATTCTTAACAGTTTTAGGACAAACAGAATTTATTTTTATGTGCAAAAGATACTCAAGGGAAAAAAAAGTAGGAAAGCAGAAATAATTACAGGAAACAAGTTCCTGTAAATGATTATCCGTAGTTCAAAGACTTAATTATTTTAAGTCTAAAATAATCTTTTAAATTCTTGACAATTTTTCCCGGAAAAAAGAGACTTCGTGACTTGTGAAAATATAAATGAAGTGGTCGTTCAAAAAAAATCTTGATATATACATGAACTATAAGTCTCTTTTAGAAAAGAAAATCTGAGAAAAATTAACTCTATTACTCTATTTTCATATATCCTAAATATCTATCTTAATTTTAAGGATCAAATCAGTCAAAAAACAACTCTGAAAATAAAACAGTATCCTTAAACTTGTCACTGATAACTTTGATAACAACTAATATAAAAATTAACCTTCCTTTTACTTAGAGTTCTGTGTTGTTGTTTTGTTTTTTCCCAACCAGGAACACTATCAGACTCATGTTTCCTGTATCAGACTCACAGGCAAAGAAGAGAAAGAAATTAATTCTAGGATTTAAATTCTGACACGTGCCACACAGGAAGAAGTAAAAGCACTCTACAAATCTGAATTTACCTCCTTTATTATATCTTACCAAATGCCAAACAATTTTGTTGAATTACTTTTTAAATACAATATAAAATAATTTCTATTGGATACTCTTATTAATTATTATATACATATTCTTCTTTAAAGATATCACTTTATTCCAGATAAAATTTTTAATAATTTTCATTTTTGGCTTTAATTTATTATGAAGTATAGCCAAATTTTGTATCATGTGGGAAGATAACTTAGGTATTTTTTTAACCTTTGTATTTTATTATAGGCTAACAGGAAGTTCTACTGTTATGTACATTATTTTCAAATTTGCTGACTATGTTTCATTAGAGCTGTCATCAAGAAGACACTGAGTACAATGTGTTGTCACCAACTTTTCAGACAAAATAATTGTGTAATATCTTGTCTTCTCCATTTTTCTGAGGGGAAAAAAATGTTTCTGTCAAAATGTTTTAACTCTTCCTTGGAGTATACCTTAAATCTTGCCTGTTTCTTTAAGTAACTGAAGTTTTAATGATTCAATTTATTTTTCTGGCCTTTCTAAAAACGAAATGTTGGCAGCATGAAGTCACAATAAATCTTAACTGCACAGTGACCACAACAGTTGACAGGAGAATTTTATTTCACTTTCCAGAAAGAGGCTTGGACTCACCTGCACTGTTCGCTGGAGCTCTGCCTCAGAAGAGGGGAGCGAACACCGTGAGCTCTCCCATCCTGTAAATTCAGCTTTCTCTTTGTGCTTGAAGGCGGGTGGCTGAACGTGTGTGCCCGTCTTCGAAACTGGGGGGAGTCAGAATCCTCTTCAGGGAATGTTTGCCAAGCTGAGGACAGTGGGGAGGCTGGTGGTGTCCCTGGTGGAGAGTCTCCCGGTGAATAGTCCTGAAAAGCAAGTAGAAGTGAGGTCTTTCTTTCCTACATGGACCATGGCAGACCTGCTTCAACACACAGCTCAAAAGTGACAGGGTGCCTCTTCTTCCTCCTGAGTCATGACAAAACTTTTTTTTTTTCACTCAATCCATGCTGAAGGCTAATCAGTATCACCACAACCCATTTCTTCAGATAAGCAGCTGTAACACAGCATCCGTAAAGATAGGCAGAAAGAGAAAGGAATGATAAGACAAAGTATTCTTTGTCCTAACACTTTGTGGTAAAATGCTATAGCTGCTGTACTTTTCTCATTGTTGCCAGAAAGATGAAAAGGGATCATGACCAAAAAAGGGTGGAGCTTGTATTTACATATCTACTGATTTCCGTGACATATCGCCTGCATGCTTCCTGTACTGTCAAAACAATATCACAGTGTCTGAGTGTCCAAGTTTCACAGCAAAGCCTTCAGGAAAGTAAAATAAAGCCTGTTAAGTATCTTCATTCACTGTGGATATTTCTATCCAATGACATGTTCCCCAAGGTAAAATTTTTTAAAAGATAGGAAAAACAGGAAATGAATGAAAAGTGAGCTATGCCGGAATGCCTCTTGTATTGCATGGGTGGACATCATAAATCTTTCCATTTAGACAGGTATGCTGTTTACACTTTCCAAAACAGGCACCGCTGTAGAAATGATAAACATGGGTTAGAGTTAAGACACTCATAGTGAGACCAAATCCTCACTTCTATCAACACAAAGGTCAGTAAAAATATGCTAATATTTTCCATAAAAAAAAAACAAAACAGGTTGCATATACCTCGGGTAACATATTGCATGATACAGGAAGCAGGAAATCAAACCTACTGAGAACTATCTAGGAGATAAAGAGGAGCCTAATGTTACAGTTAAATTAGAAAAAAAAATGAGGGAGCAGTTACATGACAGCACAAAAGATAAAAAGATCACCCTACAAGGGCAATAATTACATGGCTTATGTTTCTGTGGCTTTGAATCAAAAGTTGCATCAAATACTGTCCTTGCTAAGCGTACTATCCCCAAGCGGCAAAGAGCCTGACAGAGCACCATTAGCGTGGAACAGGTGTTCTGTCCTAACATGAGAAAGCTGTAGTGCAACAGAGAGCAATGTGATAAGAGCCACAACCTTCTTATTATAAATAATAGTATTTTTAATTTAACATTGATTTAATATTTCTTAATTTAACTGTAAAAATAATATTTGTTAAAGTCATAAAGGACTCCTCACAAAACAACTAAGTGATATTGCTACATCAGCGCTGTTTTTTGCCAAGTTGTGATCAGCAGTAAAAATGGGAGCTCAGACTAGATACCTTCTCTGAAGCAAGACTGTTGGACCGTTCAAAGCTGTCCATACTTCCAAGCCGGCCTCTCATTCTGTTAGCTCCCTGAGGGAAGAGAATAAAATTCAGTTGTTCATGTGGTTTGAATTTTTACTTTAAAAACCCTAAAAGGCGATTGCCTCTTTATACCAGCATTAAACCGATCCTTCTGTGTTTCACTCAGATTCATTGGCAGGATTAACAGCCTTGCCTGCACGGTAAATAGAACTTACGCACAACCTATTTGCACTGCTTCTCAATCAGTCATTAGATACCTAGGTATTCTGACCAAGCTTTTTGAAGTTACTCTGGTTACAAGGTTAAACATTCTTCATCCATAAGAGCAGGAAAACCCCCATAGGATCAGAGAGAGCCCAATTCACTTTATGTCTCATACAGATAAACATAACCGCGGAAGGCAGAACACAACAAACCACAAGAGTTATAAAGAAAAGGGTTTAAAAAACGGTGGTGGGGAGCACCTGGGTGGCTCAGTCCATTAAGTGTCTGACTTCAGCTCAGGTCATTATCTCATGGTTTGTGAGTTCAAGTCCCACATCAGGCTCTCTGCTGTCAGCACAGAGCCTGTTCCAGATCCTCTGTCCCCTTCTCTCTCTCTCTGCCCCTCCCCGCCTCCCTAGCTCTCTCTCTCAAAAATAAACATTAAAAAAAAAAAAAGGTGGGGCGCCTGGGTGGCTTAGTCAGTTAAGCGTCCAACTTTTGCTTAGGTCATGATCTCGCGGTTCGTGGGTTCGAGCCCCGCGTCGGGCTCTGTGCTGACTGCCAGCTCAGAGCTTGGAGCCTGTTTCAGTCTGTGACTCCCTCTCTCGCTGACCCTCCCCTGCTCACGCTGTCTCTCTCTCTCTCCAAAAAAAAAAAAAAAAAAAAAAAATTAAAAAAAATTAAAAAAAAAAAAAAAGGTTTACTACATCCAACCTCCACAACACCTAGATTACAAACAACACAGTTCACATTATAGGATTATAATAAACAAATTTTTAAAAACTTCATCTTAGGGGTTCCTGTATGGCTCAGTTGGTTAAGTATCAGCTCAGTTGGTTAAGATTTCAGCTTGGGTCATGATCTCACAGTTCATGAGTTTGAGCCCTGCATCAGGCTCCACACTGACTGTGTGGGGCCTGCTTGGGATTCTCTCTCCCTCTCTCTCTTAAAAAAATGAGCTAAGGAATGCAAATTAAAAACAACTGCATCATAAAATGTATAGATTTAGGTTCATTCATTCTTCCATATGAAAACTACATCAATAAAGCATTTCTCTCTAGAAATGCTAGACTATCAGTCTGCTTCAGGACTGGTGAGCTTGTTCTTGGGTTTTTTTGTTTGTTTGTTTGTTTGTTTTTTTGCAGTTATTTGGTATGGATTTTATAGATGACCTAACAAAGAGGAACCAAAGAGATCATCTCATCTATTACATATTCTACTGTGAATACAACTTCTATCTTGTACAATCTGTTTTTCATGTAGTCAGTAAGTGCCTCAGCAGTTACTATTTATTACGAAAGTCAACAACAGAACTAGGATGGCCAAATATCACATAATCTGTCAACTGCAGTTTTGTTTTTCTTTCTCTTTGAGCTACCCATTATAGAAGCCTCTGCCTGTCTGCTCTACTCTGTAGAGGTTGCAATGTAGACTTGCCCAGTATTTTCCTTTACTATCAACCTAGACATTTCTTTTAATACTACTCTATGTTGAAATGTGTGTCTGCGATCTTACGTCTTCCTCTTTTTTACTTTACTTCCTCATTTTGGTGAAGTTCATACTTCAGGTGCCTTCTGAGAAAGGGAGATTGGGGTATTTTCTCATTCTGTAACTCCTACAATTTGGGGGTTGGATCTTCAGACTGGTCCTTTTAACTGTTTACCTTGTTCTCCTATGGCCCATTTCCAAGAAATGGAGTTTATTCAAAGAGTTTTCCAATTCCAACTTCCCAGACGCCTGTTGATTTTTTCTTCCCAGACTTTCTGCTGAATTTTATGTCTACTACCAGAAAGTTTTAACAGTTCTTTCTTGTTCACCCAACCGACTGCTGATTCAATTGTTCACTCAGGTGACTCCTGATCTCTCTCAATTGACTCTTTTATATGTATGGTATCCCACACCTGCTTTCACAGAAGCAACACTTATTCTTATCTATGTATAATAATTACAGTTTTCTATTTCTGTTGGCACCATAAATAACAACCATATCAAGAGTAAACTTAATAGCTGCATAGAATATCAATGAGTACCTATTACATACTATATACTATGTTAAGCATTTTATAGTGCATTATCTCACTTAATCCTCACAAAAAGTCTACAAGGTGGTTATAGTTACTTAGCTCAACTCTACAGTTAAGGAGACTGCAGTTCTGATTATGTTGCCACAGCTAAAGGACTGGGAAGCAGTTTGAACCCAGGAAGTTCAACTTAACAGTGGGGCTCTTGAGCTCATATTCACTGTACTCTCCTGGAAACAGAGCTTGGTGAAAAGTGGAATTACTAATAAAACTAAGTAGCCTACACTGGTAACTTTGCAAATTTCCTAGAAAGAACCTGATCAAGGTTCTTTCAGTTCTTCAGTTCTATGCATAACAGCAGACACTTCCAGTAATAAAATGTATTTGTGGCTGATAAATGCCTCAGTTCATGTGTGTGGCCAAGAGGAAACTACTGTGGGGGGCAGGTTGCTTTTCCCATTATTTTTAGCTGGTACTTCCATGCCAAACTCCCTGCTTATCTTAAACAGGTTATTTGGTCACAATAAGAAAATTAGTCAGTCAGGTATCAAGTCATTTCCATATTAGAAAAGCACTTACACGTAGCAGTATTTTATCCATGTATTTTGTGTGAGTGTATGGACACAAAGAAAAACCTATACTCTAGGGGCACCTGGGTGGCTTAGTTGGTTAAGCATCTGGCTTTTGATTTTGGCTCACGTCATGATCTCACAGCTCACTGAGTTTGAGCCCTCTGTCTGGCTCTGCACTGACAGCACAGAGCCTGCCTGGGATTCTCTCTCTTTCCCTCTCTCTCTGCTCCTCCCCTGCTTGTGGGTACACAATTTGTACCCTATCTCTCTCTCTCTCAAAAATAAATAATTTACGGTCACCTGAGTAGCTCAGTGGGTTAAGCTCAGGTCATGATCTAGTGATCCGGAGGTTCAAGTCCCGTGTCAGGCTCTGTGCCGACAGCTCAGAGCCTGTTTCTGATTCTGTGTCTCCCTCTCTCTCTGTTCCTCCCCTGCTTGTGCATGCACACTTGCACCCTATCTCTCTCTCTCTCTCTCAAAAATAAATAATTTAAAAATAAATAAATAGGTAAATATAAAATTATGCCCTATCACTGTCATTAATTCACACATTTCAACAAGGAAGGACAATGGATAGTACTCTGAGGGAAGCATGAAATGAGGGCTGTTTTCCAATGATGCATACTGTATATTAGTAAATATTACTTTTTGGAAATATTTATCTATACATAAATATATTAGTGAATATTTCCCTTCTATAAAACTTCAACTAAAGAAAAAGCAACAAATAACCAAAACACAGGACTCTGTCTTTTCACCTCTGAGCAGACAGCCTTTCCAGTTTAACTGTCTGATGATTTGCTAATAGATGTGTCACGCCTCTTCCCTTGGACCCACTTTTTAATTGTTAATGAGCTGAGCTTCTGAGCATTTAAAAAACATATCCTAAAAAAAAAAAAAACAAAAAAAAAACAAAAAAAACATATCCTATTTCATAAAGAGCTATAGTTAGTTAAATCAACTGTCTTCACATTTAAAAATGGCAGCAATTATGAGCCAAACTCTGTGGCTGGAGTGCCAATGTTCTACTATAAAACTCAGAATGAAAACGATAAACTGATCAGTTTTAGAGGTATACAAACCCCTTTCCTGTGTAACCTCTGGCACACCACGGACAGCTGCCAACCTGCCCCTGAAGCCCATTCTGTTGAACATGGTGCAAGCAACATCTTGTTGGGTCCCATAATTTATGGCACTTGGCAGCACTGTGGGGCACAAAAGCCACACCATCCACCTTGACCAAAATAGATGGGCTGTGTGTGCCCTTGTTCAAAGAGTTGTCGCAGCCACTCAAGGCTATGTGTGCGGCACTTCAAAGTCAGCCGGGCAAGTGTTGTGCAGAATGCCAAGGTACTAAATGGGGATGAGGAGAGTGATACTCTAAGTACCCTTGGATCATTCCGAAAACGACAGGGGCTTCAGAGCTTACCGCTGTTTGGGCCATCTCCTAGCTATAGTGCGGTACTTTCCTAACATACTGACATTGCATCCTCATCCTGACGTGAGGGAGGCACAGTATCAGTATGCCCATTTCACAAATGGGGAAACTGGCATAGAAACAATAATTTGTCCAAGATCATAAATATAAATGTTGCTAGGGCCAGGCCTTGGATTCAGGTCCCCTGACCACCTACTGAAATGGCCTCTCTACTAAAATTCTCACTAAATACTATGGGAGATAGGAGAAGGAGGGAGGGGAGGAGGGCAGGAGGCAGTGAGGAAGGAAGGAGAGAGAAAGAAGGAACACAAGGAACTTATAAACACTGAGGGGAAAAAAAGATAGGAAAATTTTATGAAATGTTGCATTAACACACTTCTGATTAATCTTGTAGAATACTCTTTTCCTACATTCTGTCTTCTGCGGATAACAGGGTTGATAGCTGATCACTATTAAGAGAAACATCTATAAAAGTATTTTGAGTTCTGGCAAAGGAAAAATAAAAACACCCTAGATCAGAAAGCACTATGTCCTAACACTCTCCTGCACTTAACTTTCTTGACCCTGATACTTTTGAAGACAACAGGCTAGTAGTTATTTTGTGGACTGTACCTCAGTTTGGGTCTGTTGATGCTACCTCATGATTAGATTCAGCTACTGCCCCTTTGGCAGGAACACCACAGAAGTTCTGTATTCTCGGTATCAAGTGGCACAAGATTTCAATTTGTCTCACTGCTGATGATGTTCCATTTGATCACATGACAGAGGTCGTGTCTGTCAGTGTTCTCCATTGTAGTTACTACTTTCTTCCTTGTAATTAGTAAGTATTAATTAAATCTAGTAAATATCCTGATCATGATCAACTTTCAAGGTATTCTTTTATGTTTCATATCAGAGTAGGCACATCGTTTTCCTACTTCATGAAACAGGTTACAGTCCTTTGCTATCATTTATTATTATGTTTATATTGCCTCAGATGTCAATAGTAGGAGCCCTTCAAGGCCTTTTTTAAACATTTTTAAAATGTTTTTATTTATTCTTTTTGAGACAGAAAGAGAGAGAGAGCTAACAGGGGAGGGGTAGAGAAAGGGAGAGAGACAATTCTAACCTCACTGTCAGTGCAGAGTCTGATGGGGGGCTCAAATCCATGAACCATGAGATCATGAACTGAGCTGAAATCAAGTTGATCGCTTAACCAACTGAGCACACACACACACGTTAATACATATATACGTATTATATATTATATTATATATAAAATTCTATTATTCAAAAATATATAGACAGATAACCAGGATTCCATACTGTTACCACTGAGTTGAATCCAACAACGTGAGATTTATTCTCATTTCTCCCCTTTTCATATTTGTAACTCCCTTTTCCTCAATCCTTAATACATTACATATTTGACCAGTCCCCTGTGTGCTAAAACATCCACAACTGACACCTCACAGACACTCTCCTCATCCTACTCAGCTTCTAACACTCCACATCAGGGCTGCCACGCCCACCCACAGACGCCATCCCGACCCCGCTCAGACTCTAACTCCTTGTAGTAGACACCTTGAATGCCTTCTCCCCTCCACTGCCTCTTACTCTGATACCCTGCACTGGGCCATCCCTATGCAGGACTGACCTCATCAGCCCAGGCTCTGACTTCCTAAACCAGGTTACCCTCCTAAGTTGATACACTCCTCATAACACTCTGGTTTCCACCTGCTGCATTGGGTCACCCCACACACAGCACCCTGTAGGCTCTGTCTCTGCTCTGAGCCACTGTGACTCTCCCACCCTCCAGCCCTAACACATTGATCTACCTTGCCTGGTCTAATCTGACAGCTTTAGGACTGAATTATTCAGGAAGAGAATAATGGAAGGGAAGAAAAACCCCTTTGATTTTAAAATAAAATATAAAAATTTACTAAATGGAATATAAAGATTACTATATATTCTATATAGTTCTTTCATACTATTTTCAGCTTTTCATTTCAGCTCTTAATAGCAAAATGAAAGCTACTTTATAGCTTTATGTAGCAAATGATTATAAGTTTTTATAATCTTGGGTGTCAATATTCTATTTACCCATAGATATATTCCTTCATACATCTTGCTCAAACTTAGATATTAGAGGCACCAGAATAAATAATGAGATTACTTTAAATAAGTCAACTATATTAAAGCTATCTTAGTGGGTTTTTTTCCTAAAGCAAACATTTTGTGAGACAGTTGAGAATGAATTAAAGCAGTTAGTAAACACAGACATTAATATCTAATTATGAGTCTCAGTTTGATCTTACCCTTGAGAAGATATTTTCCAGGGAGCTAGTTAAAGATCTCTTAGCTTTATTTTTCAGAATGTCAAGTTTGAACCTTCCACTGCTTGTTGCATTTTCCGGGATTGTACTATTTGAAATAGTCTATAGAAAGAAAAACAGATAAATTTTAGTTTGGAAACATTCAAGGTTAAATGAGCCTTTAAATGCAGGCTTGACTAAGCCATAAAAAAACACAAGAATTCTTCTGTAGCTCTATTAAGGAGTAATAATTTAGGTTCCACACTGTGAGCATACAGATTATAAGAACAGGGAGTTACTTTTTAATATTGCAAGTAATAAAAAACATAGAAGATCTCTCTTTTATGCCATTCCTTTCTGCTAATATATTCTTGTTGCATTTAACAAGAAAATAAACTTGAGACATCAATTTTTACTCTATTTTGATTAACAACTATAACCATCCCTCTTCAAGCCATATACTTTATATGCAAATTACCAAGGAAAACACAGAAAAAAAAAGTTTCAAAGAACAAAGCATCTTTCTGGTAAAACTGTATTCTCCTGATGCTTCTGTTACAATCCCATTTTCATTTGTGAGTGGGCCACTTCTTTCAGATCAACAAATACTCATTGAGAGTACAAACTGTATGAGAATCTACAATATGTCCACTATATTAGTCTCTCTTTCTGTTTTATCTTAGTCCCCCCAAAAAGCTACTATGGTTCCTAGTGGTAGAAAATTTCCAAGAAAGAAACTGTATTATTTGTTTGAGAAAGGTATATATTAGAATTAAGCACCAACACAAAACAACATGTATCAAATCTGGAAATGTGAAGATTGGTTGTGGGTCTCGGGAATCAAAAGATCGGTGTGAGTCTCAGTGATCAGAAATAAAAAGACAGGCAAGATTCAGACAGGTGGAACAAAAGTGGATCAAGATGGCCCCAGCACTGGGGATGATAGCTAAATCATAAAGACCAATGCTCACGGGGCAGTGGGGCAGTGCAGGTGTTTAGCTAAAATAAAGGAAAGTAGTGGAAAGTTAACTTGGAAAAGTGAGGCTGGAGATGAAACCTTGGAAGGGGAGAATCACTGATCAGAATTTATAAGCAGAGGGGCCTCACTGTGAAAGCATTGTTTGGGGAAAGATTTATCTGAAAGGAATATTCAAAAATCATGGGAAGGGAGAGGAAATCAGAGAATGAAAGACCAGAAGGGAAAATTCAGCACAGTCCATACTGGAGGCAATGAAAGTTCCACATTAGAATTGTCTCCATGGGGTTAAGAAGTTACTGATTTATATATATATATGTAAATATATATATGTAAATATATATGTAAATATATATATGTAAATATATATATATATATATAAAGAAAGGAAAGAAAGCAATGGATATAGATGTGAGCTAGAATGGGCTCTGGTGTGTATAAAGGATTTGAAGGGCATTCTTGTCAGGCTTTCAGGAAAGAACAAGACAAAAATAGAAAAATTGTATTGGTACTTAGCACAGCACTGTAGATGCTCAGTAAATACCAGACAAATAAATGGAAAGAAGGAAGGAAGGCTGGGAGGAAGAGAGAAAGTGAGGGAGAACTTACTTCTACCAGCAGGAAAACAATTTGTTAAAGTCTCCTCTTCTGCGATCTTTCTTGCACATCCCTACTCACACACTGCTTTTGGGCCCCTAGAGAACATCACTACCACCACCAATGACTGAAATACACAAACCCATGCACAGATTTTAGGCTTTATGTTTCTTAACCTTCCTATACCACTGGCCATAGTTGATCTTCTAACTTGAACTTACCTCCTACCTTGGGCACCCACCACAGCAAATATTCAGTCTCTTTCTACCGCATCTTCCTCTTTCAGTCTTTTTCACTAGTATCATTTTAATTCACTCGTTGTCTGACATGCAGGTGTTCCTCGGTACCTCCCACTTCGACTTCAAGTCTATGCCAGAGCCCAATGTCTTCCATACTTACACGATCAACACAAATTCCTCTGTGGGTACCAAATCCATTTTTCTAATTAAATCTCTAACACATTTCTAAAATTGAACGCTTATTTCTTATTTCCATCCCTTTCTCCACTCTTGTTTTCCTTCTGTATGTCCTAGACTAGCTTCATCCAGATCCCCCAAATCTGAAACTGTGAAGCCTCTCTTAGCAATCCCCTTTCCCTTCCTTGACACATGTGCCAGGTCTCAAAGTCCTAAAGATCACGCCTCCAAAATGGCTCTTGCCTCATTCCCTTTCCCACATCTCCAGTAGTGCTATAGCTCAGCTTCTCTCCAAAACAAAATAAATTCTTTTTTTTAAGTTTGTTTATTTATTTATTTTGAAGGAGAGACAAGAGAGAAAGAAAGAGAGAGAAAGCATGTGCCCAAGAGGGGAGGGGCAGAGAGAAAGAGAGACAGGATCCCAAGCAGGCTCCACATCATCCACACAGAGCCTGATGTGGAGCTCAAACTCACAAACTACAAGATCATGACCTGAGCTGAGATCAAGAGTCGGATACTTAATTGACTGTGCCATCCAAACACCCCCAAAATAAATACTTAAAGCCAGAATCACTCAATCAATTTTTTTTAATTTTTTTTTTTAATGTTTTATTTATTTCTAGGAGAGAGAGAGAGAGACAGCATGAGCAGGGGAGGGTCAGAGAGAGAGGGAGTCACAGACTCTGAAACAGGCTCCAGGCTCTGAGCTGGCAGTCAGCACAGAGCCCGACGCGGGGCTCGAACCCACGAACCGCGAGATCATGACCTAAGCGAAAGTCGGATGCTCAACCGACTAAGCCACCCAGGCGCCCCACTCAATCAATTTTTGTACAGGTTTTATCTCTGTCTGGTCCAAACTATATCATTGTCCCAATCCTGCCGTATCTCCATATTTTACTTTATTTGATTACATGTTGGCTTCTCCTCCTCAACAGTTAAGATGGCAGAAAACAGCTGTCATTATTCAACCCCATTGCCTAGTACATAGTATGCAACTTGATAAAAGTTTGTGCAATAATTAAATGAGTCACTTCTCACATATTCTATTACAAAATGCTCCTGATTTAGGAATGTGACTTCAGCCCTAACACTGTCAACCTCCTCACCCATCAAACTGTCCCACAAATTAACCATCACTATAACAGCAGAATCATCTCTTTAAATTACAAATCTGATCTCAAGCTCTTACTTGAAACCCTTCAATGACAAAGTCAGGCTGAGCACTTAAGGCTCTTCATCATCTCACCACTGCCAATCCTTCCAGCCAGTATTTCCCCATCAATCCCCAGGTATATCCTAAAAAGCCATTAAGTACTTTAAAGGCCTGCATGGAGCATGTCATGGTCACAGCTACTGCATTAACTTTGTGCTCAATGTCCGTTCCTTTAAAAACACTTCCTTGACTTTTTCTTTTTTTAATTTTTTTATATAGTTTATTTATTTTCGAGACAGAGAGAGACAGAACATGAGTGGGAGAGGGTCAGAGAGAGAGGGAGACACAGAATCTGAAACAGGCTCCAGGGTCTGAGCTAGGTGTCAGCACAAAGCCCAACGCAGGGCTCGAACCCACAAACCGTGAGATCATGACCTGAGCCGAAGTTGGATGCTTAACCGGCTGAGCCACCCAGGCGCCCCTTCCTTGACTTTTTCAATGAACAAACTATCTCCCCTAAAACTTCAGCCTTCCACCAACCCCAAAAATGTCTTCTTTTTGAATTATTTAATTCTTCCCTCTTTCCTTACTCTCCCCTCTGCAAAGCAAAGACATAGCTATTTTTGAGCTCACTGCACATTCTTCTAAAAAGCCACTTTGTTAACCTCTATTCTATGTGTCCATTTATCTGTCTGCATTCCCTCTTCAATATGTGAGCTCCTTCCGGGAGGATTCATTCATCTCTTTTTTGTTCACCATTATCACACAGCTTGGCTCATAGAAGTTTCTCTCAAAGAGATTGTTCTATGCATACAATTCAGGAGTCACTAATAATGATATGTGATTTGTTCTGAACAGAGTGAAACACAGACTAACCTGACTTAATGTTATGAAGTAAATATGTCGTTGTCTCCTTACATGCTGTTGCTTCTATCTCGCTTTATCTACGTGCAGCTGAAAACACATTCTTCACCACATTCACAAAAGTATCATACCTTCCTTCGCAGCTAAAATGGATTTGGCCAAAATACTACTGCTTCTTTGGGTATTTGCTCTTTACCCTTCAAGGCTGTGTGAGCTTTTAACGAAATAAAGTGTTCATGTGAATTTGAAATAAAATGGATTAATATGTTCATTCTAAATCATGAGCACTTGTTTTACTGTTTTTATAACAATAACCCATTTTATCACATTTTAAAACTCATCATTATTTTATCTCAATATTAAAACTTTCCATAAAACTGCTAAAATGCTGAAAAAATAAATCTGATAGAACGTTAGCCCTAAAGATGAGAACACAAAGAATGGAAACTCCTATCACATCTTCTGTGATATTTTGACTAAATACATCAACAAAAGTAGGTCCAGGAAAACAAAAAACATCTTCTCACCGAGGGGCCTTCTCCAATGTGAACGTGTGTCCTCTGCTTGGCCTCACACAGCTGCCTCAAATGTAAAATGACAAGTTCATTCTCCTCCTGGTCGCTGACTGGCTTCATTTTCTGTCCAACAGACAAACCAAGAGCACATGATGGCAACACAGCTTCTCTCATTTTATCGTATCCCCTCTTGGTTTCATGCGTCTGGCAGACAGACATAAATAACGCTAAGTGTTTCACTGCCCTTAGAAGGAAAAGTAATAGTGGCATTCTCGTCACTATCATATATAGTTCCAGAGGATATATATCTTTAACTTCGGAGAAGTGAAAAAAAAGAACTTAGAAAAACAGAATTCCATTCTCATTTCTTATATCTTATTTGTGAGAACTATAAATAATGTTACCTGGACTCGCTCAAAGATGTCTGCCTGCTCATTATCTGTCAGTGAAGAGAGATGTCTCTGTATTACCAGCTTGGCTCTCGGAGGGTAGAGACCTAAGGAAAATGATGAAGATAAGTATTAAACAGAGTAGCTGATGCAAATGTACATCAAAATGTATATATAATGCATTACATACTGAACCTTAAGCAGGCTCTGAAGCTAAATCTTAAGGAGATGTGTTCCCACCCATAATAAACCATGGAACACTACCACAAAATGATTAAAGCTAGATGGAAATTTTACCTAAATCAACAGCCCTCTGTCAGTGATCCTGAAGTCAGAATTACTTTTTAAAATATTTTTAATGTTTATTTATTATCTTTTAAAGAGACAGAACGCGAGTGGGAGAGGAAGGACAGAGAAAGAGGGAGGAGACACAAAATCTGAAACAGGCTCCAGACTTCCAGCTGTCAGCACAGAGCCCAAAGTGTCCTCTGAACTACAAGATCATGAACTGAGGCAAAACCAGAGGCTTAACCGACTAAGCCACACAGGCGCCCCCTGGAGTCAGAATTATTAACATAAAGTTTCTAAATGATACCAAGTCAACAGCATACCCACTAGCATACTAACAAACTTTGACACCACAGAAACTCATAGGTAAACACTAGCCTTGGCCAAAATCTCTAAGCTTAAACATGACAAAATATAGAAATATTTTTTTGCCAGAGAGTGAGAGAGAAGAGAGGCAGAGGGACAAGGAGAGAGAGAATCTTAAGAAGTCTCCATGCCCAGAGCAGAGCCTGACACAGGGTTTGATCTCATGACCTGAGATCACAACCCAAGCCAAAATCAAGAGTGAAACACTTAACCCACTGAGGCACCCAAGAGCCTCAACATGACATAATATTAATAATATGAAAAGGCAGAGCTGCAACATAAATAGGAATCTCTCCTTGTCATATGGGTCTGGTTTCACAGAATAAAATTTCAAGAATAGCAATAGTATTTGTGACATTTTTAGTGTTATTACTTTACCAAGAAATTGTTCACTTCTGTATATCATGTTATTTTTATATATACCACACTCTTACACATAATTTATATCAAGTCCTTGGGCAAAACATTTTTCCATGAAAACATTTTTGGTTTTATAATTTTTTTAAAAGAGAAAAGAGTTATTCTCCTCTGAGTAAGATAACACTGTGTATGTATATTTGCTTTATATTTTATTACCCAAGTAATATACATTCCACATTTTTAAAATACTAGAACATTATAGATAGAGCTAAATTTGCCTTTGAGAGATACTAGAATCAGTGAGCAAATGCATAAGAGATAAGAGATTTGTGAGATTCAAAGTATCTTCCCTAAAATATCTTTTGGCTCCAGGGGGGAGAGTAGTACTTTTAAGTGGAAAACTGCTGAGAGCACCTTGAGCAGCTGATAAGGCCAGCATGACCAGTAATAAACTCCTCAACATCATGAGTCCCATAACACGATGCACTGAGAAGGAGGCTGCACCATTTCTACAGTGCTCTTGTCAGGGAGGAGCGCCCTCAGTACAAATGTGAGAAGACCCAAGGGACACTCAACAGAGTAACGAAGTGATGCTTGTTGGGAATGGAAAGGTCACAGAAAATAAGGAAAGACTGAGGAGGAAGGTGAAGTAACAGCTACATATGATATAGAATCCTGAATGTGATGTGGAAAAGGACATGAATGAAAAAAGTGGTGAAAGATCAAATGAAATGTTTACTTTGGACAATATTGTACCAATGTTAATTTCCTATGCTGTACGTTGCACTGAGCTATAGAAGATGTTAACAATTGGAAAGGATCGGGGATGAACATTTGGAAACTCTCTGCAACTTTCCTGTTAATCTAAAAGTAGGCCAAATTAAAAGTTCTTTCAAGGGGCGCCTGGGTGGCTCACTTGGTTAAGCGTCCAACTTCAGGTCAGATCATGATCTCACGGTTTGTGGGTTCAAGCACAGTGTCGGGCTCTGCGCTGACAGCCAGAGCTGGAGCCTGTTTCATATTCTGTGTCTCCCTCTCTCTGACCCTCCCCTGCTCATGCTGTCTCTCTCTCTATCTCTCTCTCTCTCAGAAATAAATAAAACATTTAAAAAATTAATTAAAAAATTAAGAAAAATAAAAGTTCTTTCAAAAAGAAATATAGGATTTTATGTATTTTTCCAGATAAAAGCAAAGTGTATGTATTATTCAGCAAATTATATTTTCACTCAATTATATAATTTTAAGATGTATCCAAGTAAATATACAGTTGAAATCCATTCCTATTAATTCACTGTATGAACATATTTCAGTTATGCTATTGATGCACATTTGGGTTGTTCACAATTTTCCCTTATTTAAAAACAACACAACCTTGAAAATGTCACCTTCTGAACCCGTATAAGAGTTTCTCTTATCAAGACAAGGAATTGGTAGGCAATTTTAGGTCAATACATTTCTATCAACTGTCTCCCAAAATGGCTACACCAATTTACACTACATTCAGCATCACATAAATGTATCAATATCCCCACAATTTCACCAATAGTTAATCTGAAAAGTATCTTACTGTTTTTTTTTTTTTTCCATTTTCATGTCTCTGACATCTAGTGAGGTTGAGAATCTTCTCAATTTTATTATTGGATCTTTTCTTTTTTTAAAAAAAATTTTTTAATGTTTGTTTTTGAGAGAGAGAGAGAGACAGCTCGAGCAGGGATCTTTTCTTTTTTTAAAAAAAATTTTTTAATGTTTGTTTTTGAGAGAGAGAGAGAGAGAGACAGCTCGAGCAGGGGAGGGGCTGAGAAAGAGGGAGACACAGAGTCTGAAACAGGGTTCAGGCTCTGGGCTGTCAGCACAGAGCCTGATACAGGGCTTAAACCCCATGAACTGTGAGATCATGACCTGTGCTGAAGTCAGAAGCTTAACGGACTGAGCCACCCAAGTGTCCCATTTTGAACCTTCCATTTCCTTTTCATATGAGTGTTTTTTTGATATGAATTGTGTCATTGCCTACTTGTGGTTTTATCTTTCTCTTTCAGACAGTAAGAGTTCTTATGAATTCTGATTACCAACCTGCTGTCTCTTTATTTCTTCTTTATCATTAGCTTTCAAGTAAGTAGTTAATATGTAAAAAATGTAAATTCTTATGAGGTCAAATCTACCAATGTTTTTCTTTTAACAGTTTTTGCATTTTTGTATCTTAATGCAAGCTTCCTTGTTTAAGGACACAGAATATGTGTCCTTAATATTCACATTTTATTTTAATAATTTTAACATTTTGCTTACACTGAGGGGTTTGATCCATCTAGAATGTATTTTGAGTAGGATAAGTAGAAGGAATATTTCTCTCTTTAAATAGCAAATTGATCCAACACTCTTTCCTGAGCAATTCAGCCTTTCCTCCAGAATTTATAATGTTCTCTTTACTGTACACCAAAGAACCTTCTGTTTTTGTAAAGGTACAAATGTGAAAATAATGTGCATTTGGTATATTATACATTTTGAAATCTGAATATTACATGTAAAAAGTCCTTGATCACACAGCTGATTGGATATTCAATCAACACTGATGTTCGTCATCAATTTTGACACGTGCCTATAATCTTGCTGTCTACTGAGGAGAAATCACAATCTGCACTTACAATGACTAGACTATTCTCTGCTGGGTTCTGGCGCTTGCATTCTCCCCATCCATCGTAACAGCTATCATACCGAACTGCATTCACTGGCTCACATGCCTGTCTTCCACTCTAGATGGTAAGTAAGCTCCTGAAGGCTCAGTCCACATCTCAATCATTTCTGTATCCCCAGTGCCTAGTACATTACCTGGCACTTAGCAGATACTTAACAAAGTGTTTACTGACTTGCATTTCTTCTATTGGGAAGTTGTTTTCAACCTTTTTTTTTTTTCCCAGTAAGAGCTACTGAGGAGAAAGGGGATGTGAGTTACAGAGTCATCTCTCCCCCCTCCTGAGTACACCTTTTTTTTAAAACCTGCTTTATGATATCACACTGTCTGTGTCATTTTCAAATATACCTCAAAAGCCACACAAGGTTCTTTCCAGTTATACACTTTTAGGGAAAGGAACATATCATCAAGTGAAAGGGGAATAAAAGAGATTTCTATAAACAGTCGACATTCTGGGATGCCTTTGCCTCTCTTCACTCATTCGACAAATATTTGGGCAGTTCCCACTAAGTCTACAGCAGTCCTAACAACTGTGAGAAATCCAGCTCCCTTCCTTGGCCTTCAGAAAAAAAAAATTAGAAAGAGAAAGAAAGAGGGGGTGTGGGGGGTAGGAAACATCAGGAGCCTCGGAAAGACTGTTCGCACAAATCTGACTGGACCTGAGAAATGACTCTTTGGGCTCTGGGTTCACCTGGAAACAAAGAACGATTCAATGACAGGAGTGACCTTCTCACTGTCCCAAAGACCAAAATACATCTGCTTTTGCCCTGGGGCCAAGTCATACTGTACCTTCGACCCTCTCACAGAGATTATGCAGGGAGTGCATGGGGCAGGCCTCACAAAGCTTGATCTGGGTCTTGGCACTCTGCAGAGCAGCGGCTGTGCTGAAAGCCTGCTTCAGAGTCAGCATTACCTCATCCACCTACAGGGAGAAACAGAACACAGGCCTCTAAAAGTTTGCTTTCACCCTCACACATTAAAAGCCCAACAGTAATGAGAGACTTTGTGGATGCTGACCAAATAATAAGTAAGTGAATTTGATGACTACAGAGCTAAGAGAGAGAAAATATCAAATGTCACCTTAGACCTTCAATTACATTATCACTGAAAGCTGGATAAGTAAGGCCATTTGAATGTGTAGAACGCTGATGACTTGAATGCTATTTTTGAATTCCACTGAGTGCTGTACCATCCCTGACAGTTTAACTGACAGTCAATCAGATCTTTGTTTAATTAAGTAATATATCAAGTTCCTTCGGAAGTTCTGTCTGCAATCCATAGGGAGCCACAAAACAGGTCTAATGTTCACTTCTGGTAATAGGTATCTTACTTACTTTATCCTTCTGGATCATGTTTAGTATAAAAATAAATAAAACAAGGGTTTAAGCAAAGTTCTGGGGGAAAACAAGTGCAATTTCAATAATGTCAAGGGAAGTCTGTGAAGGTTGCTAGTCCTACCTCTGTGTCTGCTAATTTATTATAATTTCACTTCTGATTTATGGCACTAAGAAGTCCTGACATCATGTTGGTGAATAACCAGGGCAGCAGTTTGAAAACCGCCAGCTGGTTTCTCCTCGTTCGGCCAATGGCTGCATCAAGAAGTGTAAACCTGGCATTCTAGTCTCCTGGTTGTTTCTTTGGGGTCAGTTATCAACTCATCCTCACCCATTGCTACACTGACCTCAGGCCCATCTCCCCTGTGATTCAATCATCAATGTGAGTGAGCTGTGGTTTTCCCACACACTGTCGACCAGAGATCAAAGTCTAAAACCTCCATGCAGAGCTATGGTATCAAGGTCCTCACCAGAACTAGCTTTGCTACTGAAAAGCAAAGTCACTTTTTCCCCTCTCCCTTCCGCCTGGTTTAAGAATAAGCTATTATTTAAAGGATTTTAATCTACTTCTGCATTTGAGTGTATGAAGAACCTGAAATGAAATGAATGTTATTCCTCTAGTATTATTAATGGAGATATCCAAACACTGAGCAACCAGTCATTATTAAGTTATGTTTGACTATGTCACCAATTTTTTAAAGGCTTATGAATAATTTCACATTGTTCCATAAATAATGAATTATTCATAAAGTCTGCTCTCTTATACCATAACAAAAAAATAAAGATTTCTCGCTCCTGAAAACAAAACCACCACATGTTTAATGCCTTTGCAGTTTTATTTCATTTGCCTTGTTGTGTATTCAAAAGCAATTTCAATGACTCAGGCACATGTTTGTTTTTATTTTCTTGTTTTTCACTTATTAAAGGCACCGAAAGGATGAGTCCTCTGCTTGGCTTTCATATGGATTTATTATTTGTGATTATTAATCCTGCTTTATAAAGGGCCTCCAATGCAAATACTGAACTTTCATGTTTTCTTCTTTATTTCTAGATGAAACAAAAGCCCATTTCAATGGTGTCTAATGTGTGGCTACCAATTTCTTCCAGCCACAAATATTACTAAAAACTATTTGATTTCTAGGGGCGCCTGGGTGGCTTAGTCGGTTAAGCGTTCGACTTTCGCTTAGGTCATGATCTCGCGGTTCGTGGGTTCGAGCCCCGCATCGGGCTCTGTGCTGACTGCCAGCTCAGAGCCTGGAGCCTGTTTCAGAGTCTGTGACTCCCTTTCTCTCTGACCGTCCCCTGCTCACGCTGTCTCTCTCTCTCTCTCTCCTAGAAATAAAAAAGCATTAAAACAAAAAAAACTCTATTTGATTTCTAAATGTTTAAATGTTTTGCTTTTTTAGCTCCATCATTTTTTTAGATGACCTATAAATTCTATAATGGGATCAGAGCAACTAAAAGTTCAAACTAGTGCAGTATGAATAACTTAATTGTTTCAGTCTATCTACAACAACAAAAAAATCATAGGTCATGTTAAGAAGTTAAAAGTAAACGACTTCACAAGGATAAATCAATCACATGTAAACAAAAGGAGAGTATTCTTAACATTACAATCAGGCAAATTAAATTTCCAGTGAAAACTATGAGGTGGGACAAAGAAAGATAATTTATGATATTAAGGTAAAAATCCATAATGAAGATAATGTTCACAAACATTTATGCACCAAACTTGTGTATTTCATAGCATTTAAGAATCAATGTAAGAATCACAGAATGTGTAAGGACTTCGCAGGATTACCTAATTCAATTCTCTCGAAAATGTAAACTATTAACCTCCATACAAATTCTGGGTCTTGGTAGCCTGAGTCTCTTTCTTTTCCCATACTTTTCCTGGACACTGTTGTCTGTATCTGTGGAGTTTTACTTTTTCTTCGTCTTAAGTAGCAACTTCCACTTTTTTCCAGACCTTGCAAACCAATTTTAGAGGATGCAAAAGTGGTGTTCTCCACAAATCTCAAGGGTTGGTCAAACAAGATGCAGCCGCCTGCCTACCGCTATTTTGCAAAGGAAGGAAGGCACACTGAGCATCTAAACTTGGGGTGAAAAACCCCAGGAGTCATGAGAACATTATATTGTTTATCAATTCACAGCAACGGCTACAAAGACGGAAAAGAAAACGCAAGTTGTGTATTCTTTGTACTCAGAGAAGATGGCTCAGCATGTGTGGTTTTGCAATACTTTGTCTTACACAACTGCCAAGCCAAATCAATCATAACACTGCTTAGACTATAATATTTAATTAACTGTTCTGTTTTGTTCAATATACCAGCTGCTTGAACCATCCTCTTTTAATAAAGGAAATCTCATTTAGCTTTTCTTCTTGCTTGGAGTTCTGATGCCCCACTCGTCAGTTAAGACGCTACTGATAGAATTAGAATCAACACATTTTTAAAGATTCCAGCAAAGCTCTCTTCTAAGGAATAACAATGCCAAAATAGTGATTCGGATGCAGCTTCAGTGTAAAAGGAAGACATTCTCGGCCACTCTGGGCTGTGGCCTTAGTCACAGAGCTTCCTCAGGTGGAAAATTCAACATATTCTCAGACTTTCTAGTCTTAGCTCCCGGTTTCAAACACATGTATGAGGACAAAACAAAAATACTAGAAACTATCAACAAAACCAAACTTATAAAGCAGATTGAGAATAAGGTTTCATGTAGCTTTCCTTTTAGTGCAGGTTACTCAGTAATCAGATTAACTGGCACCTGGAAAATGATTGTCTGAAGTTAAGAGTCACACACTCACTCAGACTACCCTGAAAGACTACCTGATACTCTAGTCTAGAAACACGGGGGGATACAACAAGAATGAGAGTGGTCGTGACCTTGTTTGAGTCACAATCTCTGGACTAGAAAGTTATGTGAACAAAGTTGAGAGTGGGCATTGACAGGAACTGTTACAGACCTATGAACAATGTGTCGCAAGAGCACTAGCAATAAAGCAACTAAAAGAAGTCAATTCCTTTAAAAAAAAGAAAGAAAGAAAAAAGCCATCCAAAAAGGCTTCGGTAGGATGTACACGAATACAAAGTTGAAAAGAAGGGGATTTAAGTCAGAGTAAAGCAAGGCCAGGCCAGAGTCACATCCAATGAAGAGGTAAAGAGAATGTGAAAATAGGAGATGAAAAACTGGCGTAGTCTCCTTGTTTAGAAGCAGCACACCCTGGAGGCCACCATCCTTGCCTGACAACATAAAAGTATGAGCCGCGGCTCAGGCTTCTTCTGACACAGCAGACTCCTCACTCAGCGTAGCCAATAGTGACCTCAGGACATCTGCTGTACTTGTGTGAGCCCCAGCCATTCACTTAAATCCCTGGTCCTCTGTGTCCCAAACCAAATGAAAGCCACCTCACACCAGTCATCACGCCAGCCTCCACTGTCAGACCCAGAGACCAGTTCAGGGGATGGGACGGCCCAAGTGAGAACACACATCGTGAAAGGGAGAGGCAGCGCAGTGGGGACCACAGAAAGAGGAAGGCCCTTTTGCCAAGCCAGACAATCTAAACCTTGTCTCTTAACAAGGAGGCGTAATCTGGTTCCTGGAAATTTTGTGAGAAAAAAAAAACCTAGAGCGTGATGCAGAAAGTGGACAGATGACATATTAAGCAAGTGGCAGGGAGACTAGTTAGGACACTAGGGTGAAGGTCCAAGCAAGGAAGACGAATGCCCAGAACTTAGATGGCAGCCAGAGAGGGAAAGGAGGAGAAATGGATAAGGGGCTTCTCTACCTTTAAGCTAACAGGCATTGGTGAACAAGTGGATACAGAAGGTAAAGGAGAATGCGTTACGATTTCTAATTTGGGAAGGTGGGTACTTGGAGCTGCCAAAATAAAACATGGAACACAGGACAGGTTTTGGAAAGGCAGAGGAGTAAGGGATCCAGAACATGGTGGAAGACTCAGCCTCACCGAAGAACCAAAGAAGGAGGGGGGGAGGTGTGAGCGGGAAGCAGGACACCAGATTCTCTTGGCCTTATTTTCTACCTAATGCTTGCCTGGCTGGCACTTTCCAGCGCCGCGTCACTGTTCTATCTGCCTTTCTCTTCCTCTATCCCTGTCCTCATCTGCTCCCATGTTTTCAACTATCATTTACATAATGGCAATTCTCAAATCTCTATCTCCAATCCTGAACTGGGCCCATCCAGGTGGTCACCTGGATCTCAACATGGAGAGTTTTGCTGGGCATGGTTAATTGCCTAACATGAAAATAAAATGTAAATGGAGCTCTCTTGAGTAAAAAAGTTGTTAGTGATGGGAGTGCTATATTCCCCAGAGAAAAAGGTTGAGACCCCAAAGAGCCCCAGGCAGAAAGTGCCTTTGTGGTTGAGCCTGGGTGGCTAAGTCAGCTGAACACCAGATTTCTTGGTATCAGCTCAGGTTGTGATCTCGTGGTTGTGATCTCACAGTAGTGGGATCAAGCCCCACGTCCAGCCAGCACTGAACAGAGCCTGCTCAGAATTCTCTCTCTCCTCCTCTCTCTGCTCCTCCTCAGCTCACACACACACACACACTCTCTCTCAAAATAAATAAACAAAACTTAAAAGAAAAAAAAGTGCTTTTGTACCAATTCACTCCCATATCTTCATGTTTCCTCTACTCAATGTCTCTATGGGGAATATGGAAGGCCAGAGCTGTACAGAAATGCTGGCAACATGCACCAAAGCAATGAGGAGAATGCTGCCTGGCTTGCTGTGAACCTCTAAGTGGTGTGTGCTTCCCCAGGAGAAGTGCTTACAGGTGTATTATATGCCTAAAGAAATATTTTTCTTCAAAGTATGGTGACAGAGCTAAGGGTTTGTGTTAGAATGGTTAGGAGAGCTCACACAAGTGGAAGAAAAAGTAAAAAGTCTCAGGGGGAAAATATCAAAATATTTCTTCAACTCTAGCTGCCCCCATGAAGGGGCAGGTCGAGGGAGCGAGGGGAGGGTGCTGGAAAGAAGGATTGACTTTTAAATTACACAGAAAGAAAATAAAGGCTAAAATAAGACCATAAGAAATAAAGTTGTTAAAAAATGAGAACAGTCACTAAGAAAGAAAACCAAATCCTTCTCTGCTGATGTAAGCATGACCTCCTCAAAGTCATAATAATTCAGAGACTAAGAGCTCAGTGGTCTTCTTTTTATGAGCAATGGGGGGAAAAAAACGAGCTCTTCTCCTATTATTAGTGTTTTCTTACCTTTTAAAAATTCTCCTGATCACATGACTGAATTTGTTCAACTCCAGAAAGTACCCAGGCTTAAAAATTACCATGACATTTTGTTTTTGTTTTTCTTCTTTTGTGCTTTAAATAGCAGAAATCTGTCCCTAGGCGCCCTCTTCCTTTTCCACCGGTGGCGGCTGTGTGAGGCACCATTGGGTGCACCATTAGCATGAGGAGTGGGCAGAAGCTGGCGGACAGCAGTCAGCTACTTACCAGAGATTCGCTGGCGCACTGGAACACATAACAGATATAGTGGCTCAGCCCTGGCTCTGGTGACTCCCGACAGATAAAGCCAAAATGATCAACATGCTTTATACCCTACAGTTGGGGAAAAAAGTACAGTGTTCATTGGAATATATCCAACTAATCAACACTATGGAAATCAGCATCAGTTCTATGCTTTCACACTTCCACAAATTTCTCCTTCTCAGCCCTGTGAGAAGGGACACAATGTCATAGCAAATTGTGTGGCAGTCTTTTGACACATAAAATAAAGGGAAAGATCAATTCAGATTGTTTTGTTTCAGACAAACACTCCTGCACGCTGTGACTCCGGCCATAGGAAGAAAACTACGATGGCGTGATTCATTTCTCTTGTAATAAAACTGCCACTTGCTGTTTGCAAATAATGGAGTTTTCAATTTATTGGTCTTCTTAGAACAAACAGTCTGATAGTTTATCATAAGCCTTGTTCTTGTCTATATGAAGCTAAGAATCAGAAACACTATGGCTAATAATGCTCTGAGTGGCATGCAATTCCCTTAAGTGTGCATTGAAAATACTAGAATACCTATCTATATACATAGATATTTAAGGAACCACAGCAGTTAGAAAAATAATATATTAACAAAATTATTGCAGATATCAATCATCCAAATTTATAAATCACTGTATTTCCCGAATGCAGGCCAAATAACCTCAGTTATGCTTAATTAAAAAACTGTGAATCATCTGTCAATTTCAGCCAGGCTGAATACATATATGCCAATTAGCAGACAGCACCTTGTTATTTTAATAGAAACTGCAGTACTTTAAAAAGCCAGGTAGACAACATATTTAAAGTTGTCGTGCAATCACCTAAATCCCAGTGAAAAGAAAACAGGCTTTGGAGTCAGACAGATGTGTGCTTCATTCTTAGTTCAACCCATCTACAAAGTATGAGACATTGTGCTGGGTTTCTAATCATGATCTCTAAGGCTCCATTTCTCATTATAAAATAGTGGTAATGGTACCTATGCCAGCAATTTTCAAAATTTACAACGAAGAATTATCTATTATAGTCACCGACACATAACTTTGATAAATGGTAACCACTATTACATATCTTATAATATGCTCAGTCTATCCAATGGATATGAATAAAGGAAATCAATTCTGACCAAAAGAAAAAAGGCAGTAAGGAGGAATGAGGTTACAATTTATGAGGTAAAAGCAAGCTGCGTCTGGTGCAACTCCTTAGTGATTAAAAAATATCGGGGCGCCTGGGTGGCTTAGTTGGTTAAGCATCCGACTTTCGCTTAGGTCATGATCTCACAGTTCGTGGGTTCGAGCCCCGCGTTGGGCTCGGTTCGTGGGTTCGGGCCCCGCATCGGGCTCTGTGCTGACTGCCAGCTCAGAGCCTGGAGCCTGTTTCAGTCTGTGACTCCCTCTCTCTCTGACCCTCCCCTGCTCATGCTGTCTCTCTCTCTCTGTCTCCTAGAAATAAAAAAAAAAAAAAAAATTTTTTTTAAAATATCTTTTACTAGCTTAGTACTAAGTGGCAAAAACTCATAGGACCTTGTGAGCTTAGGGAGACATCAAGCCATGGCAATGTCTCCTGGAAAGAAAAGCCACTCCCAGCTTCCCCATGCTTGCCAGGAACACAGTCCTATAGATTTTGCAGAAAGAAACTTTTGGTAGGTGTGCATGTGTTAAAAAGGAGGCGTGTTCCTGAATGTGGCCACATCGTATCAGTTCAGTGCTGGGGAGAAAAGTAACAAGAGCAGGGCCACTTGATGAGGAGCAGAGGTAAAGTAACAATTACTCTGATGAAAGGCCTCTCCACAAATGTTTAATTCATGTTCTACACCAGAAGCTTAGAATACAAAGCTTGCTTTAAAAACGGAGGGTTGGGGCGCCTGGGTGGCTTAGTCGGTTGAGCGTCCGACTTTCGCTTAGGTCATGATCTCGCGGTTCGTGGGTTCGAGCCCCGCGTCGGGCTCTGTGCTGACTGCCAGCTCAGAGCCTGGAGCCTGTTTCAGTCTGTGACTCCCTCTCTCTCTGACCCTCCCCTGCTCATGCTGTCTCTCTCTCTCTCTCTCTCCTAGAAATAAATAAAAATTTAAAAAAAAAAAAAAAACATTTAAAAAAAAAAAAAACGGAGGGAAAAAAGCAAAACTCATGTTTAGACTGCAGTTTTATATACTGAGTTTGGTTGGTTCTTTTTTTTCTTTTTTTTTCACCTCTAATTTTTTTTTTTTTTTTTTGGATGTTCAATGATCATTGCTAGTTTTCGTACTGGGAGGTCTGAGGACTGAATGGGTGAGAGGCATAGCTTTTGAGGATGACTCTTGCCATTCTGGGGGGCAGGAACTACACTGGTTTCTATGTCACGTCTTCCTCTGTACTCGGCACAGCTCCCACACAAAGAAATGCTCAACATTTTAATAAATTCAACATTGTTTTTTTTAATAAACTCAACTATATTTAAATTAGGGAAATCTGTTCATCAAAAGCCACCCTTAAGAGAGTGAAAAGTCAAACTGCATAATGAGAAGATATTTACAAAACATACAACCCACAATAATCTTTCACCCAACTATATAAACAACTCTTACAGACCAGTATGAAAAAAAGAAAACCCGCAGAAGAACAAGATAGTATTTGAAGACGCATTTTGTAAAAGAATATGACAAAATGGCCAATAAACATATGATAAAGTGCTCAACCTTGTTAGTCATCCAGAATTATGCTTAAAATACACATGAAATGCCATTTTACCCCTTCCATGATGGCTATTACTTTAAAAATATTGACAGAATTAGTAAACATGTCAAGTACCTGAGACATTCCTACACTGCTGTGAGAAGTATAAATTAGTATAATTAATTAAACCATTTTTAAAAATTTAGTCTTAATTTACATGCAAGTTAATTATTGGAGTGCAATAATGACTGCAGCAGAATCCAGTGATTCATTCTCTACATATAGCAGCCACTTATTGAACACCTAACTATTAAGATGTATCTTAACATTTTATTCTGATGCCTTATAGAATGAGACACCACAAAATAAGACACCTGCCATCACAAAGCTTTTGATCTTGCCGGGACTCTCAGTAAACAGGCAATTACAAGACTTAATAACTATTTTTTCAGGGGCACTTGGGTGGCTCGGTCAGTTGCATATGACTCTTGATTTCAGCTCAGGTCGTGATCTTGCAGACCATGGATTCAAGCCCTACATTGGGTCCTGTGCTGACAGTGTGGAGCCCACTTGGAAGTCTCTCTCTACTCTCTTTCTGCCCCTCCCCTGCATGTTCTCACTCTAAATAAATAAATAAATAAATAAATAAACTTTTTTTCCAGTTCAAGTGAACATAATCTTTCTACCATATTTTTGGTCCTTTAAATAGAATTTAGAAAACTGCCATTTATCATTCCTATAAAGATGCTGCCTCTCTCTCAGTTATTGAAGTAAAAAGCTTTTATTTTATGACTTATTTTATGTCACCATGTAATATAACAAATATTGAAATATTAGACATGAAACTGCATTAGCTGAGGCTGAGGTGAATAATTAACAAGATGTACAAAAGCTAATCATTTCTGAAAGGCAGAATATCTGAATATTATACCTATGGCAATGCTATCTCTGAAATTTAAAAATAAGTAGAAGTCCCAGGGTGCCTGTGTAGCTCTGTTGGTTGAACAGCTCAGTTGGCTTAGTCAGTCAGTTGAGCATCTGACTCTTGATTTTGGCTCAGTTCATGGTACTAGAGTTGGGATGTGGGATGGAGGCCAATGTAGGGCTCTGCACTGAGTGTCTAGCCTGCCTGAGATTCTCTCTCTCCCTCTGCCTTTCTTCTCTGCTCACACACTCTTTAAAATAAAAAAATATTGGTAGTCTTGTGGAGTTTTGTTTTGTTGTTTTTTTTGGTTGAATCGATTTTTCAACATTAAAATACAGAAAAGGACCTTGGCAAGATATAGGTCCCTAAAGGTGCACCTAAGTCACCCAGCTAGGAGAGAAGTTAATTCTTCTCTATTCTAGAACCTCTGCAGAGGCATCCTTGCATTCTTAACCTTCCCATATTTAGGTTTAGGTACTCTCTTCACTCCAATATCTTCAAAAACTCTTTCTGTGTTTACAATATATTTAGGTAGCTCTAACTTTGGGACAGACATTCTAAACTATTACTGTGGTACTTAGGACTCTGGTTTAGGACCGCTATGACCTTGTACACATTTAGCTGCGTCAGTAATTTCAAAACTTTCAAATACATGGTTTGTGGCCTGAAAATAAACAAAAGAACAAAAATATACCAAACGTTCTTTTCAAACTTTTGCATTTACATTAAAAGAAGTTGAAAGTACTAGTTCTCCTTTTGCTACCTGCTATGATATAAAGAGCAAGCATGACTCAGTGATACCCACAAGTCCCACTACCCAAGACACTGAGGAACACTAACTGTGAAGGTATTTTTCAAAAGAACTCTCCACCACAAAAAATCCACCAGAGGAAGGTATGTGATAAAGTGACGTTACAAGGAGAAAGGGGTGACAAAAATGAGGACCAACTATTAATATACTGAGGGACCTAGACAGGACTCTGTTACTAGCAGAGACCCAAACACAGGAACCCTCTTATTTAAGACAAATCCACTTAAAAATTTTAAATTAAAAAAATAGTAAAATTTGGAAGAGTCTAAATATAGTCATCAGATTGTTAATTTAAAAACAAGATAAAATTGGCTTTGTCAAACATCTGACATACTTTAATACATACCTGAGAACAAGAAGAGATATCTTTAAAATTCTTTTCAAGCACAACTGATTTAGTGTCTGGACTGATAAGGTTAATCTCAAACCGCCCAACCTTAAAAATAAAAACATGCCAGTTAATTTCAATTCACAAGGACCTCAACATCTTACTTTACAATTAAATATCCAACTAGTAATATAGATTCAATTGCTCACATAGTCACATGTGCTTCAACATCCAATCCAAACAGTATTTCAACTCCAAATATCAGCTGCCTCACCACATTTCCTCCTTTAGTCCAAAGATTAAGTGGGTCTTAAATTACAAGATACAAGAAACCTTTTTTTTTTCCATATTAAAAGTGATCATCTTTTTAAAAACATGCAACCTTTCTTCACTTCATGATGTCTAAAACGACTAATTATTTAATTATAATTTATAATCATACTTCCTCCCAAATGCTCAACAAAAAGATAACATTTGTTATTGGACACATTAGTTAAACTTTTTGAAAATCAACAGGCAGAGAAATTAACATCAATTCCTGTTGTAAGGTAAGAAAATGGATAAATCCAATAGTTCCCAAAAAGAGAGTCAGCATATCATCCAAGAAAAATCCATGAACACTTTCATTACATGCCTAGAGTTATCAAAAACAGAACAGGACAAAACAAAAGAACCCATGAGCCTCTGATAAGTCAGGATTACACACTGGGATTGTTTACCAAGGTACTCTGTGGAATTTCCTTGCCTAGGGTTCATTATCACAAGATAAAAGGACAGTCACTCATTTTTTTTTCCCCAGAAAATTCACATCTTACAAGCTGAGGACTAAAGAACCTTTCCAGGGCTTTGTTTTGACTGAAGTTCATTTAGGGGAAACTTGGCATTTTCTGTCTCCTGTGCAAATTCGAAAACTACTTTTTAGAATGAAGATAGATCTTTGACATCTGTAATACAGCTTTCACCATATTATTTTAGTAACGGATCCAGTAAGTAGTCAGACCCATGGTGTTTCTTTAACCTTCTATGTATAACAGAACTAACTAGTGTATTCTCATCTGAAATACACCCGGGAGCCTCTAGACTTTTCCTTCTCTAAAGAAAACTTTTTCTTTCTAACTTCACGTCTACCTCACTTTCCTAGATTCACATCTTTAAGCCCGCTGTAAGACTGGCTTTCTGCACCTGTCTAAGAGACAGCAGCAGCTTCTATTTAGGAGTCAACCTAAGGCAAATGCTGGGGATAAGAAGGAGAATTTACTTAATTGCTTCTTTCTCCACCTCTCCCTGTCCAGTTCCCTCACTTTTTTTAAAATCCGCATTCCACGTCTGCCTCACAGCCCTGTTCTGCCTGCCTTTGCTCTTTTCTCCACCTGCCCTCTGGGCTCCCAGGGAAGAGTGGAGGCTGGACCACCCCAGAGCGCGGAACGGGGCGGGGCCCGCAGTCTGCGCTGCAGGACGGAGTCCCCCTCCCAACCTCCACCTGCCCGCCTCCCGCCCCCATCCCCGCCTGTCCCCCCACCCCCACCTGCCCCCTCACCCCTGCATGCTCCCCTCCCCCCACCCCCGCCTGCCCCCTCCCCTCCATCCCCGCCTGCACGCCCCCTCCCCCCACCTCCGCATGCCCCCTCACCCCTGCATGCTCCCCTCCCCCC